CTCAGAGTGGCAAGCAATGCGCATAAGCCACAGCGCTGCAGGCCTCCCCCAGCGCCCCTGCAAGCCTCTCCACTCCTGCAGACAGTGAGTGCGTCCATGAACCAACGGCTTCAGCCCTGCTCCTTGGCGGAGTGTGAGCAGGTAAGGCCCAGAGCACACATTTCCTGAAGATGCTCTGTTATGCCTCTAAGAAGACAGATTCTGGGTAAGGAGGCAGAAGTGGATGCAGGTGAGAAAGTGGAAAATGAAGACCCTTAGTTCTGGGGGCACAGACCTTAGACCCCAGTGTCCGTCACCGCGTCTCCCATATCTCTCACTGCCTAGCGCGTGGCAGGCAGCCGTCCCTAAGCTTTTGTTCAGGGAAAGGAAACTACAGAGAAAAACAGCCCAAGCCTTCCCCCAAGTCACCTTCCAGCTTAGTATTGTTGTGCTGCCTTTACAACCCAGCTCCGTGGGAAGGTATTTGGAGTTCCAGAGGCTTTGAGCAGTGTGTCCACTGGCTCCCCTGAGGAGACCCACAGCTGCAGGGGTGCAGGGCCGCGTCACTGAGGAGTGTCCACACGGTGGCTTGAAGTCCACAGTAATAATTCAGTTCGGACACATGTGCTCCTAGACACGTTTTACCAGAGAGAAAACTAATTCTAAAATCCTTGTCATAGTTTTGCCAGAGTGTCTACACTGTGACAGTGTATGATAACTTGAAAGGATTACGAATTCTACAAGCAGAGCCAAAGGAGTCCCCAGGGGCTCGTGGGGAACCCTCGTGCGCAGCGCAGCTCTGCCCCTGGGGCACAGTGACCTGGCCCTCCTGCACTGGCCACCCCAGGCTTCCTCAGCAACCTGAGAGTCCCTGTTGCGAGTCAGCGTTCCCGAAGCTGCAGTGGGGTGTTGAGTGGCCCCTGGATGCTTCATTAGGATTTTTGGCTAGAATCTGGGTCCAAATATGATGATCGTCAAGTTCATCAATCGTGCAGACCCAGCGGTGTGCGCCGTGGAGAGAGCGAGGTGCTTCTTCTGAACTCGCCCCTTCTCCGTAGACATTCACACACTCACCAGTGACCGAGGGCCTCCGGTTTCAAGATCAAGAGACTCACGCTCTGCTTTCTTACACAAGTGTGCACCACCACCACCAGGGCTATCTGCGCGGCAGCCCAGCAGGCACAGCTGCGACGCGTCCCAGGCCTGGCCGACATGCACGAAGTGCTAGCGTCAGCCGCCTTCTCTGTACCTACTAGATTATTCTAAAGCACTTCTTGGCCGATACGTTTCAGTGCACCGTTCCACAGGCAGAGCAATGGCAGGATGGGACGGCTCAGACGGGACGCACTCTCCACAGGCTGGCTTCAGGGTTTGGCTGCCACTCTGCACGAGCTGATACCGGCTGGCTTGAGACTGAAAAACGCTACGTGTTGTGAAACCACCTCTAAGGTCGGCTCTAAAGGATCTCATATGTGATGAGCTCTGCAGTTGCATGCAACCTATTTCATTAAAGTAGACATTCCCATTTGGTGGCCTTCAGAGCACTGAGAACGTTCGCTCAGGAATGTTCTCAGGTTTGCATTTCCTTGTCAAGAAGGGCTCTAACACCCCGCTTTCTGATTAAGCCACCCACTACAATTTTTTTCAAGAACAAGAAAGCAATAATGTAGAATCCGTGCATCGCCAAGCTTGCTCTGACAGAGCCGGCTGTGGCTTGGAAGTGCATTTCATTGTGTGCTGCGCCCTGAACTTTCCTTTGATCCACTAGATGGGTGCGCCTCAAAAGCCAGCACTTACTGGACACAGCAGATCACAGCCAGTCAGTGCTGTACTAACCACCTCCAAATCTGGTGGCGCTCCCATTCTGCGGTGAGGGCTTTGTTAAGATTCCTGTGGCTTAGTAAGATACAGCAGGGCTGTCCTGGGCTAGGTTCTGCAGTTTCTCATTTGTGGGAGCAGGCTGTGCAGGCAGGGGGAGGGAAGGCCGTGCAGCCTCTCCAGGCTCGCCATCCCCAGGCCCTCTCCATCCTGACCAGTGCATGGCTGAGGGAGGAGTTCCAAACGCATCTATCCTGTGCCATGTACAGTGTCCCTCCGTGACATGTGTCAGGGTTTTGTTGGCACAAATGGATTCCAAATGCGCGCTCAGCGCTCAGGTGCAGAGGAATGCATTTGAGGACCCGTGGCTTCCATTCTGCTGGGCCTGCAAGCTCCCTCGCTGACAGCTGGGCTCATTTCTTAATTACTCAGGTGGTACAGGTGCTTGGCAATATTCTACAGCAAGTGCCACCTCAGCCCTTTCCAGGCGAAGCACAGCCAGGAAATCCTGGGGAGGGGGTGAGTAAAAGGAGGCGAACATTCTGTCAAGTTCTCTGCAAAGAAATCAGTTCATTTGGAATGCTGTTTCTGTTTTGCCTCTGTGAGGAACCAGATGCATGCGGGTCTTGATGCCTCTGAGCTACTCCGGCACCTCAATTCTGACGCTTAGTTTAAATGACTGAGGACAAAGGTTTATTTTGGCCAATTTAAGAAACTCTCCTTCCCCAGCCCTTTGTGCATATTATCTCTTCCTGGGCTGGCTTGCTCCCGTTTCATCCACGTCTTGGGAGCTGCACAAATTGAGTAGAAGTAAAACGTGCATTCTTCAGTTTTAAACACATAATTAGCTTGCAGTTACAGAGCGCAGTGTGAGGAGGAGGAGGACATGCTGTCAGAGGGGGGCGCTGCTAATAGAAATATCGCGTGCGGAAGTGAGTTCCTGCGGGTCCTTCCTGCCTAGGCATTGGTTGTGGGCTTACAGGCATAGCGCCCCCCATCGGGGGGAGCGAGGAGAGGCCTGACCCACACGGGCCTGCGTGGCTCCCGGTCTTGTTCACGGCACCGCGGTGCCCTGACCAAGCTCCTCCCTTCCCTTGCCTCCATTCTCTTATCTGTAAAACAGGACTGTCGTTGCCTCCCTCAGAGTGGCTGTGCCCATGAAGGAAACAAGCGTGGTGCCTAGCACAGTGCCAGGGATACAGGGGCGACTTTTAAAGCGGAAACAACTACTCTTCATTTTGCACAAAAGAGTAGATGACCTCACTGTATTTTTAAAACATCTTGTATTGTTTTCCGCTATGTGTACAGATTAATTTCCTCTGCTGGGGTTACATCTTAGGGCATCCTGGACCTTTTTAGGAGCGACCCTCTGAAACACAATACACCTTTGCCCTAACACAAAGGTCCAGAGCTCTGTGAGGTATGGGTGGTTGCAATTGTCCTTCCCCGCCCCTGGGCCCAGCCTGTGGCAGCCTGCTCTTCCACGCGAGGGCAGGCCACTCGCTGGTGCTGTCCCTCCCAAGCTTCTTTAAGCACAGCAGTGACTGACTAGCTTGGGATGATAGCTCCACTTACTGCCAGTGACTTGCATGCCACCTGTTCCGAGTGGCCCCGGGAGGAGGATGACAGCTGAGGACGCTGAGAGAGGCTGGGAAATGGATGCGTGTGGTGGGGAGGGGGCGGGGGCCGCTCTACACTGATGCATCCCTTAACCCTAACTGGCAATAGCTCATGAGAAAATGCTGAGTTTGTTTCTTTAAGGAATACTTGGTTCCACCAGGGGTGTATATTCCCCATCGCTATCAGGGATGGATTTACAGGGAAGAACAATAAAGCAATGTAAGTACTCGAGTGGGTTTGAGGGATCTGTCTGCTTTTGAGGCTGAGCTAGATGAATCCAAATTCAGTCTGTTGGTCAGAACAAGTAGCTTCATTCCAGCAGGCAAAGGGCATGAGAGTTGCAGGGTGCCCCAAAGGCAGCCAATGCTCGGGGCCGTGGCCTCCCAGTCACAGAGCCATCCTGAGACTGCTGTAGGGTCTGAAAGCTGCTGTTCCCAAAAAGAATTTCTACCTAAGAGCTCTAGGCATGTTTGCAGTTCCCAACTTTACATTAGAAATCTCTGAGAAACTGTGAGTCCTTTTCCCGGTGCATTTAACTTTCACTATATTCTCTAGTTCATTCCCATGAAAATGCCACGTAGATCTGTTGGCCGTGTAACAAAAGGCACAGATGAGAGCATCAGTTTGTTTCCATTAGCATAATTAGTTAATCATCTTATCATCTCTGTCTAGGATAATTATATGAATAGACTTTCTACCAGACTTGTGAATTAACGACAAAGAACTCGGACCTTCTTTCTGTCTCAGAATGAAATGCAGTGGATAACCAGGTAATACATTTACAAAGCGTCACCACACAGAGGTGGCCAGACGCATCTTGCACCAGTTTGAATTTAACAACAGCAACTTTTCTCCAGATAAGCTTCAGCTACAGACACACCAGAGCCAGGGCCGGGCACTTAACAGATGGTAACACAAATATATAATGCAAAGAAAGGCCGAGGAGGAGCACCAGCCGGTCGGGACCTCGCTTTCCAGAGGATGCAGAGGATGGGCTTTAAGTATCTGAATACTTTCTGCATAACAATCTAGTTCTTGTCAAGGTGCACATCCCAAATCCGGATCAGAGGGCCAGCTCATTGATTCTACCCTGGGCAAGCCCTTAGGACGCCCCTGGGCTTCTTTCGGCATATCCTACAGTGCTTGGCAGCTATCTCTGGAGTTTAAGACGTTCTTACTGTGACGACGATGAAGAAACTTAAAATGGTCAGCATTCTGCAGCAAATCGGCACAGTTAGGGCATCAAATCCTCCCAGGGAAGGCTGAGGTAGAATGGCCACTTCATTTTTACAAAACCAAAGATAACTTTGCCCTACAGTTTCCTCTTTGTGTAAAGAGAAGCCCAGCAAATACTTCACTAGCCAACAACGCAGGCACCCCACAATCACATAGCAGAGCCTCTTCAGCTTAGACATATGAATAAAAGAAAGCGAAGTTGAAAAACAGAGACATCACTAAAGATATCAAAAATCATATTTGGAAAGAAAAGTGTACAGCCCAAATGTACCTACATACACACACACACACGCATGCACACACACACACACACACAGCCGACTGTAAATGAAGAGAAGCCAACTTACCGGAGCAAATATCACCATACACATTTACAAAAGAATTGAGAGTCCAACTTCCCTCTCCAGAAAGAAAACAGAGATTGTCTCATACTAAAAAGGAAGCTCCTCTGTCCGCAGCGCCAGCCGCTAGTCCCTCTTTTGAAGAAGCAAGGAGGCGAGCGAGGAGAGCGATGCGAGGAAAGTGAGATGTTATACCAATCAGGTAGCAGCGGCTGCCCTATTTGCGGAGAGATGGCAAGCCAGGCATATCAGTACAGTGACAGCCCACAGCCACGAGCAGGGAGCTGACGCTTCCCGGGCTGGCTGAGCGCTGCCCGCCTGTGGGGAGCTCCTTCCCCCACCGGGTGCGCCGGGCTCCTGGCTCACTGCTGGAGGTGCAGAGCTCCCTCCTCCCGCAGCCACAGCTCCTAACACCCAACTGAGAGAAGGAGAGGAGCCAGGATTTTGCCTGTTGAGGTTGCAGGGGAAGCAGCGGTTTCATACAATCCTTATGCATAGATTTGTATAGATTAGTTAAATGGTGGTATGTTTATTATTTTTAAAATGCCCCTGTTTTTATGGAAATGGATGGGTATTCGCATGATCCCCATTGGAGGAATTCTTGCACTGTCCATAAATAATCATTAAGGCTCGGTCCTGGGAGTCAGATTCAGGCTCCGGCAATGGGGAAGCACAAATTATAACTTGGGTGCTCATTTATCACACAAGTGTTACTTAAAGCCTTCTGCCAAATCTCAAAATTAGAAAGGTTTCGGAGGTTTAAATGTGACTCGGATCTTTTATTTTTTCCTCTGTAAAAAGCAGTCCAGCTTGTTCTCTCTGGGGGCTGCAATCACGGCTCCCTGGGGGGCTGTGCTTCAGGGACGCTGGCACCAGTTTCCTGGAGGGTGCGTGCCCTTCACATTGGCATCCTGAGGATGAGGTTCCCTGGGTCCACCCCGCAGCACAGGGAGGGCTGGGAGGCCGGGCCCTTCCACACTCAGGGGCCCCACATACAGGTGCTAGCCCAGGTGTGTCCACTGCGCCTTCTGGGCAGCAGGTGTGGCCCAGCTGAGACTGACATGTTCCGATAGGTGGTTAGCAGTCCAGAATCTGTCTTGTGTCTCCTCTCTCCTCTCTTTCTCCTCTCTCTCTCTCTCACCCCCCCCCGTCTCTCACACACATTTACACACACAGCACCATCATTACCACGAAGTCTCCAGCACCACTCTCTCTCTCCCTCTCCCTCCTTCTCTCTTGTGACACAGTAATCCAGAGAGGGAACAGAGGCAAGGCACCAAATAAACTAAAAAGAAAAAGAAAAGCAAAAAGCAGTGATGAGTCAGGCAGATTGGATCTAGTCCTGCTCCTCCATGTGTTAGTCTTGTGACCTAGGAAGAAGCCCTTTAAGGTTTCAGCCTTAGTTTACCATCTGTAAAATGGACACAATCATATTGCATAGTGCTGCTGATGGGAAGGTGTGAAAAGAAAAGAGCTCAGGCAGAACACACACGCATGGGGACCCTGCTTCCTCTCTCCACTCCAGGGTATTTACATTCTCAACTGTGACCACTGTGACCCCTGCTTGTAGCAAGCACACTGGCAGCATGACAGCCAAGAGGGAAGTGGCTCTGGAGGGAAGGCATTTCCATGAGGGCTCCCAGGATCAGAGGAATAGATGAAGCTGTGTCCATCGCTGTCCCCAGGGCCACAGCTTCTGCTGGTGGCCAGGAAGGAGAGCGTCAGTGCACAGTGCATAGAGCAAGGAGCGTGCACTCACTGGCCTGCACCGCATGGCAGGGGCATGCTGTGTAGGTCTCCAGGGAGTAATTCTCATTATCTGCTGATATTAGGGCTGTATTTCAACTAAAGGAAAACAAACTGTGTCCTGTATAGTAATATGTACCGTGCTCCAGGAATAGTCGTGAGCGAGTTTTGGTATTTTGTCTGATTTGGGCCTCCCTGAATGACAAAGTTACTATTTCTCTTCTGACTGAGCTGAGGACACCAGACCCCAGAGTGAGGGGCTCCCTGGATGTCTGTGCTCAGGGAGGAGCGGAGCTGAGACTTAGCCCCAGTGGGCGCTGTTGCCCACCTGCTAACCACTTTGTTCCGGGGCCATGGGAGGGTGCCTACCCGTTTAGGTCCTCAGTATAAAGGAGATGGTGAATCTACGTCCAGACACGTGGACCCCGTGATAGCTCCCCAGCTGTTCCCACTGTGCGAACTCACACCTCGGACAGTGGAGACCCCGAGTAGATGCAGGGCTGACCGGGCCAGCAAGGGCTGTGCCCAGCCCTGCTGGGTGTGGGCCTCTACTCAGACCCCATGAATAAAGCAGGCATGAGGCCCAGTCGTGAACTTGCTAGGAACCTGCTCTGTGGCCCTAGGAATGCCCCAAATTCCTTTGTGTTTCAGTTTTTCTCAGGTTTGAATTGAAGTTTTTCCCTGACAGTCCCTAGAGGAGATGAGGGTCCCTTTGCATAGAGGAGGCTGTAAGGCTTAGGTACAGTCTAATTTTCTGGTCAAGTTTGTTCCTACCTTGTATTTTGTTCCAGATCAAACATTCATATTCTCTTAAGTCTTGCTTGTCACCCCAGCCACCACCCTCTCTTCCCACAATGTACCTGCTTCACTCTTACTGGATGGATCTCTCTCCAGGTAGAATGCTCATTGAGCCCTTAAGGAGTAGATTAGACCATGCTACACAGCTGGAGAGAAATCCTTCCGTTATTGTGCTGCAGGCTTGAAGGGAAACCCAAACTCTTTACTGTGCCTTGAAATCCCACGTGAGCTGGCCCCGTCCACCATTTTGGTTCTCTCCAGTTCCAGCCCTCTCCTTCCTGCTGGCCTGCTCTCCTCTGTTCTGCCTGTTCCTTCCTCCTGGAACATCCTTTCTTAGACCTTCTCTTGCGTCTTGTCCTTTGTCATTTATGCTTTTGCTCCATTCCGGCTCATCATAGTCTCCTTTCCTGTGTACCTAATATCCAAAAAGCCTCTCCTGTCCCCAGCTGGCCCTCCCTTTTGCACTATCTTGTATTTTCAGTTGTAGTTGTATGTGTTATAGTTTCTTTTATAATTACTGGTATTATTGTTACTATAATACTTTTGCACTGTTATTGCTTGATAAGCTCTGGCTTAATATTTGCTCATTTATTATCTCCTTTCTCTAAGTGGTAACTTCTACGAAGGCAGAATCCATTTGGGGTCTTCCAGGTTCAAGGGAGCCCTTGGCACATAGTAGGTGTTCAGTATAGATAGTTGGTGGATAAATGAAGATAACTTGGTGAGTCAACACGAGAACACGTGGGGCACCGGATAGCAGAAAAGAAGCATAAGAAAGTAGCTCAGCCTTGAGTCGGAGGCACATGAAGAAGGACAGTGATTCCTTTGTAGAGTGAATACAGATTGCCTTTCATCTTCACTCGGAATATTCTGGAACATTGTTATCAGGGACGCCACGTCACCTTGGGTTCCAGCATCCAGCTCACCTGGGCCCACACAGAGTGACTGATGTTGGGGTATCTGCCCACACTCTTGGCACTAGAGACACATACTCTTGTCAGGTAGCCACGGCGCTGTCTGCCCCTTCTGCTTCAGTCAGTTCAGACAGTTGGCTACCACCATACAACACAAAGTTTGATCTGACAAAAATAAGGCCATATGCCAGCATTTGATGGCTCTTGCTTCAAAAGTGATGTGTTACCATTGTTGCTACTGCCTTAAAAATAACATCAACCCATTATTAGACTATTAAAAATAGCTGTCAGAAGTTTCTTCAGTTGAGTATTTATAGAGAAGGTTAAGTAGATTAAAGGATCCGCACGTCTCTGAAAACCTCATTAGCAATGCTGATTTCCAATATGGTCAGATCTGTGATTCTGATGTTCCCAATGAGCTTGGCCCTCAGACAACCTCAAAGGGCCTTTCGTGTTTTCTGCTGAGTAGGAAAACACACTTCCCCTCTGCTGGACATCCTTCCTGGCAAGTGCAACAGGTCCTTGCCCTTCCAGTTCTCTGTCTGAGCATCTGGCCTCTCAAAAGGGGTCCTTTCAGGCCTGTTAGCTTGGGCTCCGACAGTGGGAGGCCACGCTTACAAGCATTTAGCAAGTGCTGAGTGGAAAATTCCAAAAGGGTGAGGATCTCTCCCTTGCAGTGTGGGAATGGAAGTACCAAAGCTGAGATTGCTCTGGCCAGAGTAATAGATGACCAAGAAAGAAAACATTCTTGCATTTTGCTCTAAGGACCATTTCGGCTCTTGCAAGCTATAGCAGTAAGAGCACTTAGATGCAACGCGCCACTGGAACCACCTTGAAATCTGGAACGCCGACTCCTTTATCTGAGCACCACCGCTAGCTTGGGTGAAAGACGTTTTGTTTGGATATGGGCAGGTGTACACAGCCAAGGTTGACCTGTCTAGGCTATTTATTTATTTATTTATTTATTTATTTATTTATTATTTTATTGACAGAAGAAAGGTTTTTTTTTAAATCTGCTTTTGTCTCTTTTATTTTTAAATGTCTAATGTGATAAAATAGCATCCATATCAGCTGACCATTTATGAGATGTCACTTTCCTCAGTAGAACTGGTCCAGGCTGGCTCACGGGATGCCACACTGAAGCTGAAGGGAGTGGGGACAGTTGTGAACACAAGAGAAACATTAAGGGACACAGGGCAAACATTCAGTAAACCTAGGGTGTGGGGGTAGAAACGGAGCCAGCCGAACGATGAAGGGATGAAACGGCACTCACAGCAGCGAGTCGACAGGACTCAAGATCGCCGCGGCTGAGGTCCTTGGGCAGGGCGGCAGATCCTGCTCCTGTCTGCAGCCCCCGGCAGAGCCAGCAATGCAGGTAAGCAGTGACTCGAGGCTGAAGGAGGATGGCAGGGCTTTGGGGCAGGGCCTGCGTGGTGAAGCGCACTCCCCTGTAGGCGGACGTGCTGCCAGACAGCAACCACTTGTCCCTCCAAGCCGCTGCCCCAGACCCTTGGGTTTCGGAAACATGGCCTTTTGGCACCTTGCCAAGGAGATCTGTTCTTTGCCCATCCCGGGGAGGGGTGGCCAGGAGAACAGGCCGAGAGAGCTGCAGTCCATGCATTTATTCCTTTGTCCTTCTCAAGGGACCCTACTTGGTGGCGCTCTCCTTCAAAGGCCCAGGTGCCATGGGGCAGCCCTCTCCGTTCAGCCTTACCTCCTCTCTCCCTCCCTCTTTTCCTTTCTTCCTTCTTTCCTTCCCCTTTCCTTTCCCTTTCTCCCTCCCTCCGTCCCTGTCTCCCTCCCACCCTCATCTCTCCCCTCCATC